GGGACTCGAAAGCAAAATTATATTAGGGTTCATTTGATTGCAAGAGTAGAATTTGAGTAGAAAGAAAATGAATTTCACGAAATTAAATTGCTTAAAATTGTTTTCTTATGAATTGTCAATTAATTGTGTTTGATTTGTATAATTTTTCAAGTAGAAAATATTTAAATTTTGGATCTTTTGGTATTCGTTTGGCTTAATTTTTTATGAAAATTGTCCATTAAAGAAATTTTTTTTTTTGCAATTGATGATAAAATTTGTGTCCATTGCCAAAAAAATTAAAAAAATATATATGGAAACCATTTTCCCATTTCTATGGAAAAAATGGACTATCAAATATAGCCTTAATGTGAATCATATTCTTTTGTAAGGATTATGAAATATTTTTGAACCACAAATGAACCATATTTCATGGAAGTTCAGGTTATATTTTTGTGAAACCAATGTCTAATTCTTTGAGAGATTCACGTGCCCCAAAAAAAAGAAAAAAAGGATGCAAGCACAGTGACGTAAGATACCTTTCATCAGCTATGAACCACATGGCCGTTTAGATTTTTCTTCTATCATCTTCGAATCACACGTCTAGTTTTGATTCTTTATTTGCATTGAAGACATAATTTGAATAAATATTCGTAATCTCTAGCAAATCAAATTATTAAACATAATAACTAGGTACTAGTATTTGTCATACAATAAAATTTTAAACTAATGTTATTTAACATTAATTTAGGTGACAATATTAGTGATATTACATTATATGTTCAATTAAATATCCAAAATTATAACACATTATTTGGCACCACTGATATTTAAAATCAGTCTAGGTGGCAGTACTAATGACATTATATTACAGATTCAATTAAATAAATAGAATTATGATCCATTTAGTATGACATATATACCGTCCGCCTGGTGCTGATTTTTGCCAAATTGTAATCAAAATTCCGACCTTAGTGGGGCCCACATGTGAGATGGTCGGTCAAGGTTTGCGGTTGAAGTGATATGCAACGGTAGGAAAATGAATTTTTTGGGCCATTTTAGTTGCTACCAGACAGACTGATAATGTTGACACCTAAATTAAACTGGTGTTTAACACCTCGGGTGCTAAATAGCATTGTTCGACTAGACATCAAGATTTTATTCGAGGAAAGACAGCTTCGGCTCCCTATAAATAGACATTCGATTTAAGGAATTTGATTCATTCATCAATTTCAGTTTCAACTTTCACGGTATAACTCGAAACAACATTAGAAATTATCAAACAGTACAAAAAATGGAAGCTGCAGGCAATGAAAAATCTATGAAAATTCCTCATGTAATAGTCCTTCCATATCCAAGCCAAGGCCACATAAACCCTCTTCTGCAATTTGCAAAACGCCTCGCCGCAAAAGGAGTCAAAGCCACATTCGCCACCACATTCTACACTGTCAATTCCATCCGCGCCACAAATGTGGTGGTGGAGCCTATCTCCGACGGCTTCGACCATGGAGGCTTTGCTGAAGCAAAGAAAGAAGATATCTACATCAACTCATTCAGAGAAAATGGCTCAAGAGATTTATCACAAATCATTGAAAAATTCGAAAAATCTGATTTTCCAGTCAATTGTATAATCTATGATTCGTTTTTGCCATGGGCTCTTGATGTTGCTAAGGAACATGGAATTTATGGAGCTTCGTTTTTCACCAACTCGGCCGCGGTTTGTGCCGTGTTCTCCCACATACACGACGGCTCGTTGACTCTACCAGTGGTGATTAAAGACAAGCCGTTGATTTTGCCAGGATTGCCGCCATTCAGCGACTGCGATATGCCGGGGTTTATCAGGGCACCGGAAAGCTATCCTGCTTATTTGGCTATGAAAATGAGTCAATTCTCAAACTTGGAGAAGGCTGATTATGTGTTTGCTAACACTTTCGAAGAATTAGAAGGCCAGGTGAGGCTGTAGTTTTAAGTTACTTATTTTCTCAACCATGATTTTCAAAATTACACTTTTACTTGCAAAATTTTGTATAATTAGCCAATAATTCTTGAATTCCCTACCTTTTTTTCTTTCTCTCGAAACAGGAGGCAAAAAGCGTTTCAAACATCTGGCCTGCAAAGTTAATAGGTCCAATGGTGCCATCAGCATACTTGGACAACAGAATTGAAGAAGACCAAGGCTATGGAGCCAGTTTATGGAAGCCCCTAAGTGAAAAATGCGTTACGTGGCTCAAAAGCAAGCCAAACAAATCAGTAATCTACATTTCATTTGGTAGCATGGTTTCATTAACATCAAAACAAATGGAAGAAATGGCAACGGCATTAATGAGCACGAATTCGTACTTCCTATGGGTCGTAAGAGAGAGTGAACACAATAAATTGCCAGCTGGATTCTTCGACTTGACCGAAGGAAAGGGCCTGGTCGTGTCATGGTGCAACCAACTCGAAATGCTAGCACACCAAGCCATTGGTTGCTTTGTGACACATTGTGGATGGAACTCGACAATTGAAGGATTGTGCCTTGGCGTGCCTATGGTGGGAATGCCACAATGGTCGGACCAAATGCCCGATGCTAAGTACATTGAGGATGTATGGAGGGTCGGGGTTCGCGCCAAGGAGGATGAATCTGGAATTGTGAGCAGAGAAGAGCTTTTGTATTGTTTAAAACAAGTTATGGAAGGAGAAAGGGGTGAGGAGATCAAGAGGAATGCAAGAAAATGGCGAGAATTGGCTAAGGAAGCAATTGATGAAGGTGGCACCTCAGACAAGTGCATCAGTGAATTCGTAGGGCAGTTAAAGAGTGCTGCCATGGACAGTATTTTACATAACGAAAAAGTTGGCTACTAATTTATTTATTTTTTGTCTTCAATAATGTTCAATAATATTTAGTCCACCGTATCAATAACTTCAAAATTATATCCGTAATGAGAAATTTTATATTCGAAATTTTATAGATGCTATGTATGACTCTGTATTACTTTATGATATAATGTACCAAACATGTTCTTGAGTCCAATATGATAAATTTGATATCTTAGAGATTCATTAGGCTTGGTGGGAGATAGGTAGAAGAGTTTATTGTGATTTCCCAATTAGGTATGTAAAAGTAAAATGCGAACTTAAAATTTTTTTTTAAAATTTATTGATATAAAGTATAAATATGTGAAATTATAAATTGAACATGTAACCAAATAAATACCAAAAACGAAAGTATGAAAGTACCCCACTACAACAAAAACAGCCTACGAAAACGTTACCGTAGGCGTACGGCAACTTTTGGACATGTGTTGCAAATCAAAATGTTATCGTAGAGTAAAGAGATACGACAACGTTTTTTAAACGTTGCCGAAAGTCTTCCATAACATTTAAAAAATGTTGTAGTAGAGATACAACAACGTTTGGTAAATGTTGTGAAAGACAGCCTATGGCAATGTTTGGCAACGTTGCCGTAGGCTGGATTTTTTTAATAACAATTTATACAAATAGATTGACAAAATTGAAAATGCAATTTATGAACAAATTTTGGAATTGTATAAAAATTGATAATTTCATTACAAATTTTTTAATCCATACACTTGAACATTAGAATCGGATACAACACCATTTAAGAATCAATACCACTAGAAGATGATGAATCACTGCTAGAACTAATTAAGCTAACTACTGGCATTGCGTTGATTTCCACCTCCACTTCCACTGTCTTCATCCTTCTCGATCTTGATGGGAGGAAAGCTTATCACAGGCGTATTATC